GCAGCGTCTCGTGCAGCTTCCATTGCACGTTTGCGTCTGGGTCTCCGAGGGCCTTCGGGGGCCCAAATCCGTCAAAATCCTTATTAGTTTTGGGGAGGCCGGGAAGTCAGCCTAGACCACGACGCACGACGCACGACTCACCACGATGCACTACGCACGACGACCACGACGATCACGACGACGACAACGACAACAACGACGACGACGCTGACGCTGATGCCGACGCCGAGGCCGACGCCGACGCCAACGACGACGGCGACGGCGCAGACTGCTCCGACAACGACGACGACGAAGACGACGCCGACGACCAGCAGAGTAGAGTAGGCGTAGAGTAGGGTATCATAGGAGTGGAGTAGAGGGTAGAGTAGAGTAGAGTCGAGTAGAGTAGGGTTGGATTCGGTAGGGTAGAGGGGCGAGAAATTTGCGCCTCGTCGCCATGTTTTCCCACCCCTTGCGGCGGCCCGGCACGTGTACCGCGTGCGCCTGGGCGGGTGGGGGGTCCCCTGCGGGGGGATCATGGTGGATCCACACCCGTCCTTCACACGGCAAAAGTCCCTCGGCCTGGCGTGCGTGGGGGTGTGCGGTCGCCCGAGGGAGTAGCGCTCTTCGGGTGGCTTCTCGGGGCGGCGCGCCGAATGGCGTGTCGCTATCTGGGGGCAGTGTGCCCGCCGCTCCGGAATTTTCAGAACGCGCGGCGCGCCAAGGGGCTGCTGCGCGCGGCGCGCCAAGGCGCGCGTCGCCCGATTCGCTCCTGGTGGTTCGGCCAGGAAGGAGTGGACACCTGAATGATGGAGGGGTTCTTTCGGCGGTATTGCGTCTTCTTTGTGTGTCCGAAAGCTTCTTGCCGGGCTCCAGGGTCGGGCATATTGTCCCTCGTAGCCGCGCTGTTCATCGCGCTCAGGAGGTGCATTCTTGTATATACCTATTGTGATGGCGGTGATCCTGGTAATCCATCCCTCCGTCCCTCTTCCTCCTCCTCCTCCTCCTCCTCCTCCTCCTCCTCCTCTTCCTTTTCCTCTTCTTTTTCCTCTCCCCCATCCTCCTCTTCCTCCTCCTCCCCCTCTTCCTCTTTCTACACCTCCTCTTCCTCTTTCTCCACCTCCTTTTCCTCCTCCTCCTCCTCCTCGTCCTCCTCCCTCCTCCTCCCCTCCTCCTCTCCTCCTCTCCTCCTCCTCCTCTCCTCCTCCTCCCTCCTCCCTCCTCCTCCCTCCTCCTCCCTCCCTCCTCCTCGTGCTCCTGTCCCACCTTTCCGCCTCGAAGCCCAGGAGGTCCACCTCGTGGACCTCCCGGCGTTGGACGCCGCGGCCGCGGACGTCGAGGGACTGCTGGCGGATCTCCTCGGCCCGGAGGGCGGGCCTCTGCTGCTGGGCTTCGGCCTGCAGGCGGCCCCCTCGGCGGCCCCCCGGACATCGCTCGAGGTTCGATGGGGAGGGAGGGAGGAGGGGAGGACGAGGAGGAGGAGGGCGGGGGAGAGAGGAAGGAGGAAATGGGAGGAAGGAGAAGGAGGAGGGAGGAGGGAGGAGGAGGAGGAGGACGAGGAGGACAAGGACGAGGACGAAGAGCAGGGCGGCGAGCCAAAACCTCGACGTTCTACTTGTTTGGACGTTCTCGTCTGTTCTCAGCGGTGTCCCAGCCTTGGCCAGCAGCTGCGCCTCGTCGAGAGCGTTCTGGGGGTGTCCAGATCATCCCGATCGGCCGCAAGAAGCCCAGGTCTATGTCCCGATTGCCACCCAGAGCCCTGACACCCAACGCCTTGGAAGAGTCGTGTTTTTCGTTGTTTCGGCCCCTGGGGGCTGGCTGAGCTCGGGTCGCGAATTCCAGGGATCCCGTCGGGAAGCAATCAGGACATCGGATGTCTTGGCCCTTGCCAACTGGCCCCTCGCAGAAGTCTTCGGGAGATTTCGTCGGTCATCTGGGGATCTTCTTCGCCCCAGGATCTTCTCCAACAGCTTCTGCCCGGATCGCCCCGAGGAGGCCGCCGGAGGCCCAACTCATGCCCCGAACAACCCACTCGGATGAGAAGCCCTCGGAGGCGTTCGGCGGCCTTGGGTAGCGGCCTGGAAGGTGTCGTCATCGTCGTTGCCGTCGCCGTCGCCGCCGCCGTCGTCGTCGTCGTCGTCGCCGTCGCCGGCGTCGCCGCTGTCGCCGTCGTCGTCGTCGTCGTCGTCGTCGTCGTCGTCGTCGTCGTCATCATCTTCGTTGTCCTTGTCGTCATTCCCCTCCCCCTCCTCCCTCCTCCTCCCCATCCTCCTCCCCCCCTCCTCTACCCATTTCCAGTCGTTGGCCCGCCCTGGGCATTTTTCCTGGGTGCGTGCCCCGCGAAGTGGTGGAGGGTTCTTCCCCTCCGTGGGGCCGACAGGCGGCCAAGTCTTGCCATCCGGCTCGCGGCTACTGTGCGCGCTCGGCCTGCGCTGGCTTCTCTGCGCTGGGCTCGGAGAGAAGCGGCGACGACGGCGCGCTGCCTCCTGCCTCCTGCTGCTCCTCGTCCTCCTCATCCGCGTTCCCCAACCGAGTCCACACCAAATCAGCCCCTCCAAGGGCGCCCCGCGCACACAAGCAGTGCGTGGCTGCTCTCCTTGCCCGCGTCAGGGCGGAGGAGGCCCACAGTTCGATGGCACGGTCGAGTATCCTTGCCAATGTTTCGGCGCGTTCACTTTCCAGCCACTGCGAATCGCTGCCTTATTTTATCCCCGAACATACTCGGCCTGGCTGGATTGGAGGACGGGGGTACGGTGAACCGAGAGAGCTCTCAAGCTGCTATCCCGCAGCTTGGTTTCTTTGCTGCCCCGCCTGGCTCCAGAACGTGTTGCGACCCAATGCGGCCAGAATGGCTAGGTCCTCGCGACACGATGTACTTCATGAACAGTCGAGCAAGCAAAAACAAGACGCTGTACAGGACGAGGTCGAAGCACAACACGGCGGTCTCAAGGTTGCGATAGCGGGGCATATGCCGGGAGGCCCTGACACCCTGTGCCCACCCCCCGTTTGGGCCGTGCCGATGGTGGGAGGTGACGTTGTGGGGTCTGGCCTGGCGGCCGCGATAACTCTCAAACGTGTCCAACTTGATTGAACATGGTTCCCGCGAATGCTCGGACGCACGGATACGTTCCGCGCGGTGCATGCGCGACAAAACGCCCCGTATCTTCGGGGTCGCGGCCCAGGGGCCCGGACACCGAGGCCGCGGATACGGATATGTGTTTTGTCCACGACGCTGGGGAATCGCATCTCAGCCCCAACAGCCCATCCCCCCCCAGGGGGGAGAGAGCGGGCGAAGCCCGAAGGATACAGCATCTATCCCCACCCAGGGGCCGGGTCCAGTCCATAGCAGTGAGAACCAACGACGCTCACTGAAGGGCCAAGGGGTCCCGTTTGGCCGTTTTGAAGCGCCAAGGGGCCCCCGCCTCCACGGGCCCGGCAGCCCTCAGAGACCTCCTCGTGGCGAAACGCTGGCCCCACGGGGGGGAAGTTCTCGGGGGGGCCGCACCGAAGCAGTCAAGACATCGGATTTCATGTACCTTGTTCGCATCTCGAGGCAGGAGGCGCCCCGCGGACGCGCCTAACCTCCTTGTCTCCCCGGAGGATTGGGCATTCGGAGAGCGCCTGACCGGGCAAGTCCACAGGAATTCTGCACCGGCTCACACGGCATTGGCATCCGCAGTGTGCTGGTGCAGTCCTGTCAGTTTTCGAGTCGACGTGGCTCGATTTCTTGGACGTCGATTAGCTATTCCTCCCACGTGCACTCGGAATGTGGTGTCGGGCGCATTGGTAGAGGGCCACCCAGCAGCTTTCGCGAAAGGGCGCTTTGCTAGATGAGGTTCTCAGTCCTCCACAAGAAGGAGGCTTACAGGCGAACTAGGAGGAGGAGGAAGGACAACGAGGTTGCGGAGAGGAGGCGGAGAACGTTTTGGGGGGGGCGGGGAGGCGAGTAAACGGGAGCGGGAGAGAATGGGAGCAAAGACAGGATACGCACAGTGGCGGGATATATACATACGAATATAAATATACGTAGATACACGTACGTTTGGCTCAAGACGAGGGCTGGCCCAAACTATTTGTTTGATTAGACTTCCGTTATCGAAGGAGAAGAAGAAAAATGGTAATGACAAACGGTGTCTGTGTGTTTGCGTGTTTTCTTCCGACGCGCCCCCACATGGCCTCTCATGTTTCTCTGCCCCGCATGGCGCTGATGGCGCCGGCCTTCCTCGCGACCGTGGCGCTGCTGCTCGCGGCGCCCGGAGGCGCCGGCCGAGCGTTATCTCCTGGCCCACTCCACGGAGCTGCGGCTGCTGACGCGTGCGGCGCAGAGCCCGGCCGCCCCGTTGCAGCTGCTGCACGGGGACACCCAGATCGCCCAGTGCTTGCAGAAGCGCCAGGCCGAACCTGCGCGGATCGCAGCCACGGTGCAGCAGAGCTTGTCGGCGGTGTTGCGGGCCGTGGGCATTTCATGATGCAACCGCTGGAGGTCGAGCAGGCCCCGACGCCCTTGGCAAGGGGCTTCTGGACGCCATCAGCGAGCCGTTTCGGGAGCAGTGCGGCAACGCGACCGCTTACTTGGTCTTCGAGACCGCTGTGAACACCACCCCGGTCACCCAGGGTAACATCACTGAAACTTCCAGGAGGAGGGCCGCCCCGACGCGGTGCCCATGGCCATCACCATCTTCGACATCCTCGTGCTGTTGAGCGACGGCGCCGTGCGGTTCTTCCCTCACGAGATCGCGCAGGAGGCGGCGATGTACCTGGTCGCAGCGGGCGACCTTCTGGGCGCGGTGGGCGCCAGCTGGGAAGGTTTCGGGACCAGCCAGGAGGCGCATGGCATCGAGGACTTCGCGCTCAGGGGGGTCCTGGACCAGGTGCTGCCCAGAGTTCTGCGGAGCGACGAGACGTACGAGCTCATCATCGGGACCCTCGACGGCGTGATCGACAGCCTGAGGGAGACGGTGCTGGAATTCAGAGACAGAGAGTCGAGGGCGACATGTGATGGAAGGCCCAGGAGGCGATGAAGAAGAAGCGCCCCACCATCTGCCCCGAGGGCTCTCACTGGAACGACGAGCAGCCGTGCTTCCCCGAGCCCATGCAGGAGCCCGAGAAGCTGCTGCAGGAGGTGCACTGCGCTGGCACCGCGGGCGGGCTCGAGCGCGCCGTCGCCGGCAAGGCGGACAGCGCGGGCGCTAGCAGCCTATCCCCGACAGAGCCCTGGTTGCCATCTGCGAGACCGACGTCTACGCGGAGAAGATCGGCCACTGCTGCTACGCCGCCTGCCAGGCCGGCACGGCCTCGTTTGGGCTGCATTGCAAGACGCAGTGCCAGGACGAGTTTCCAGCCGACGATGGTGTGAGGATGTGCGGCACAACCTTGGTGTGCTTGCAGAGGTTGCTAGGAACATGGTCATTGGAGTCGCCTGGCGCCATCAGTTCTGGCCTGCTCGTCGCCTCGATGGCGAAGGACGGGGTTGATACGGATTCCCTTGTCAGCACCATCCAGGCTTAGCCGCGCAGGTTGACCCTCCTCCCTCCCCTCCTCCCCTCCCCTCGTCGCGTCGGTCGCCTTGTCCTCGTTCGCCCCTCTCTGTCGTGGCCGTCCTGTCGCGTCTCCGTCTGTCGTCGTCGCGGTGCGCCTGCTTTCCGTGTCAAAACTACGTGTTTTCGTATAGCATGAGCTGTCGCCACCGGTGTGCAGGCCCGCCCTCTGCCTCCACTCTGGGGCTGCGGGGCTGTGGCGCAGGGACCAGCTCACCCCCGGGGTTGCCCTTCGTACGCTTGTTTTCGAGTTTGTCTTTTCATGCGCTGACGCGTGCGTGCACTTGTACAGCGTGGGCCATCCCCAGTGGTGAGTGAAGCCCGCCCTATGTTTCCACTCCACGGCTGCGAGGCCGTGGCACTTGGGCCAGCTCGCCGCCGAAGGACACCCCCTTGCACGCTCTTTGTTTGTGTTGCATGCCCTGTCTTCACGTCGGACCAGCCGCTGGTCGATCCTCCGCTCCCGCGTCACCTGTGTGGTGCCGGCGGGTTGTGCCATCCAATTGCGGCGCGTTGCGTTTTGGATCACCTCCATTCCTTCTCTCCTTTACCTCGTTCCCCTTCGCCCCTCCCTCCATTGGGAGGATCATTCAGTGGCCAAGTTGCCCTTCAGAGCGCCGCTGGTAGCCGTGGTATTGGCGAGGAGCGTTCACCGGGTCTTGTGTGCTGGCCCGCTTCGAGGGCACGCCCCTGCACTCGCCGAGTGCACTTCTGTCAGCACTGTTGTGGCATTTGTCTTCTGTCTTGGCTATGCTCGCATTGGCAGCAGTCGCTGTCAGCCATGCAGGTGGGCCTGGGGCGGTTTCAGCTCCGGCAGTCGCAAATTTCTATGGATGCTTGTCTCTTCTTCGGCTTCCGTTTCAGTCACCACGTTTGGAGAGATATCTCGCCTTCGCGCGCCTTGTCTTCGGGCGTCGCGATGTATGGATTTATCTTAGGGTCCCGATGCTTCGGTCGATCGTTTCCTCACGGATCGTCAAGGGATCGGACTTGTTTGCCATTGTCCGCGTCTCCCCTTTGTCCTTGTCTTCTTGGACTTCCCCTCAGGCCTGTCACACTTGCATCGTAATTATTATAACTCGGGGTTGCCTTCTTCCCTGACTGGCGTCGCCGTTTTGCACGCTACTGTGCTAGTCGCACCGTGGTGCGGTTCAGCGGTCGCGCTCCCATGCCAGAAACATCTATGTTATCCAGCGCGGGCCCAAAAACAGTGTGTGTTGTAGCCATGTATGAATTGAAATCTATGTGGAGAAATCTATGTTGTGGAGTGTTGGTGGTGTAATCTGAGTGGTGCAGCCGATGTGGTGCAACTTTTGTGGGAGTCTCTATGTGGTACAAACTACGTGTTGCAAGCTCTGAGTGCATCATCTGCGGTGCGTTCCATGGGAGCAATCTACGTTACGCAACCTATGTTGTACAATCAATGTGGTGCAGTCCACGTTGTGCAATCCATGTGGTGCCATTTGCGTGGGGCACTCTATGTTGCGCTCACACGCAGTGCAACTCACCCTGCCGAGTTTGAAGATGTCAACTCTTTTGTTCGCGCAATCATGCAACCCACCCACCCGCAACTTGGATTGCAAAACCCATGCGGCGGCAATTGCGTTGACCCATTGGTGCTGGCTGGCGCATCGCTGCGGCTGCGCTGGCGCGCAAGCTCGCGCGACGAGCGGCCACTTAGTGTGGCGCGACCGACGTGGCCGCGGTGGCGCTGGCCGCTGGGGACATCCCAGCGCGTCTAGCTGGCCGCGTTGACGCGCGGGCATTTCAGTGCGAGTTGGTGATTCGGGCGGGCGCGGTATCATGGCGACGTCGACCTTCGCAGGCGCGACCATGATTGCAGCGATGCTAGTGACGACGATGACGACGACGACTGCAATGCAAGGCCAAAGGCGGCGCCGATGCTTATCACGCCGATGAAGATGATGGTGGCCACGCGTCGGTCATTAAGGGTTTGGGAGAATTCCGACATGCACGCGCGGCCGACGGTCGCGTGCATGACTTCATTCGGCAAGGATCGTGCCCCACCCCCCCAGCACGCGCGCAGGTGAGTTCGAATGATTTCGACATGCGCGGGCGAGGAGCCAGTTATATCGCACGTGATGAACATATTGAACAACGCATGGTTCTTTAAGAATTCGCAAGAGCTGAAGCGCAGGCTTTCCAAACGTCATATTTCAAAACTGTGTGTGCTTTATGTGTTCGGGACATCGGCGTTTCAATCCTTACCACGCCTAAGATTGTTTGACGGATTCCGGCATGCGCGAGCGACGACGCGCGCGTGTGCGCGTCGGCCCACTTGTTGCAAAGGTTGTTTGTACTTGGATAGCTTTTGATCAACGAGTGTGCGCGCATTGTTCTGCTGCATTTGATGGTTGGGCTGGGTCGAATGTGGCCCGGCAGGGGTAGTATGCATTCATGGTGGGTATGAGCGACGGGGCAGAATCGCATGCAAACTGCGCGTCCCCAGTGGGGGGCGATAGTTACAGCTTCGGGAGTGGTAGGTTTTAATTTCTTTCAGAAAAAGGGGAATCGACGTTGCTCAATTTAGGCGGCGATGGGGCGGCGACTTCGGCTACATAGCCGCCAGACCGACCGACAGGCCCAGAAGACGGGCGGCGACGAAGCGGCGACGGGGTGGCGACGGCGGCTACATCGCCGCCAGACCGACAGGCCCAGATTTCGAGGCGGCGACGAGGCGGCGACGGGGTGGCGACGGCGGCAACATAGCCGACAGAACGACAGACAGGCCCGGTTCCGTATAACACCAGCAAGGGCCCGAAGTGCTAGCATCTCTTGAGCATTATCTATGACTAGTGTAGTGGCGTATATACATAAGCATATGCAGTTGCACATGCAAATGCATGTGAGCCAGCGAGGACCCCAAACAGTGTGTTACGTGCACAACTTATGTGTATATATATATATATGCTATATATATATGCTTATCGATTGTGCAATCGATGTGGTGCAACCTACGTTGTGCAATCTGCGTGGCGCTACCAACCTGATGCAAACGATGTGGTGCAATCTATGTTGTGCATTTTATTGTGTGCAATATTATACGTTGCGCACTACATGTGGCGCAGTTTGGGTTATGCAGTCTACGTGGTGCTATTGATATGGTGCCGACCACGTGATGCAGTCTATGTGATGCAATCTACGTGCTGCACTTTATGTGGTGCAGTTGACAATTGCCCACCAGTGAATTCTTTACGCTTCGCGTGTCCCCACCAGCCCATCTCACAGCAGCAACTCTCGCGAAGCATGCCGACAGTCGTGTTTTTCAGGCGTGTGTCCGCTTGGCCCCGCATTTCTCCCCTGTTCCTCCTTCCTCCCGCCTCCTTGTACATCCTCCTTGTGGGGGGAGCGGGAGAAGGACGAGGCGGAGGAGGAGGGAGAGAAAGCGCTCCTCGTGATTTGAGTCGTTTGGGGCTTCGCGTCCTGATGTGAGTCGTTCGGGCCCTTCTTCCTGGTGTGAGTCGTTCGGGCTCTTCGTGGTGTGAGTCGTTCGGGCTCTTCGTCCTGGTGTGAGTCGTTCGGGCTTCTCGTGGTGTGAGTTGTTCGGGCCCCTCATCCTGGTGTGAGTCGTTCGGGCCCCTCCTCCTGGTGTGACTCGTTCGGGCTCCTCGTGGTGTGAGTCGTTCGGGGCCCGCGTCGTGGTGTGAGTCGTTCGGGCTCCTCGTGGTGTGAGTCGTTCGGGCGCCTCGTCCTGGTGTGAGTCGTTCGGGCCCCTCCTTGTGGTGTGAGTCGTTCGGGCTCTTCGTGGTGTGAGTCGTTCGGGCCCCTCGTCCTGGTGTGAGTCGTTCGGGCTCCTCGTGGGGCCTCTTGGGGGCCTCTTGGAGCCTCTTGGGGCCTCTTGGGGGCCTTTTGGGGGCCTCTTGGGGGCCTCTTGGGGGCCTCTTGGGGCCTCTTGGGGCCTCTTGGGGGCCTCTTGGGGGCCTATTGGGTGCCTCTTCGGCCCTCTTTGGTGCCTCTTGGGTGCCTCTTGGAGTGCTCTTGGGGGCCTGGGGGCCTGTTGGGGCCATCGTGGGGCCTCTTGCGACCTCCTCAGAAGCGCAAATGAGCGCCACCCCCTGAGAAGGACACAATGGAGCCAAAACCCTCGTAAAATCAATGATTTTGCTATGAAGGAAGAGGAGCGCGGCCCCCTCAGGAGGCCAAAATGGGGCCGAAACCTTCGTGAAATCAATGTTTTTGGCTTCAACGAAGAGGATGTTTTTTTTAGTGTCCCCCCCCCTGTCGGGGCCAGAATCCTCGTGAGGGTCGTCGTTTTTTGGCCCTCCCAGGAGTCCAAAAGGACTCCCCTGGCGACCCGCGGGGCTCCCTCTCCAGGCCCAGGGGGAGGGGGTAGGGGGAGGGGTAAACCCCTCCCCGAAGGAGAAGAAGGGGGGTTGAGGACAGAGAGAGCTCGCTAAACCACTCACGCCCAAAGGGCTGGTGGGACTAGTAGTAGTAGTAGTAGTAGTAGTAGTAGTAGTAGT